TATATAGATATGTGTAAATATCTGTGTGTATAAATATGTTTCTGTATATAGTAATAAAAATGTGCAACATGAATCCATCCTATCAGAATATTCTATCACTCTTAACTCCACTAAGGATATTTAAATAAACTGAACCATTTGTTTGTTTTCAGCCAAAAATAAAATAAACTGAAAATTAGTTCAATATTCAGAAAGTTAAAGTTGATTAAAACTGATTCTGTTCCTGCTCAACACATTAAACTGAGCGGAGCTGTTGACCTCCCCAAGATGGCGCCACCAGATCAGGTCAGCGATCAATGGTGGTTCTACTGCGGTGTCTCTCTGGCTCCCCCTGCAGCTGGCATGCGGGGATCCAGGGGCCTCTGGCTTCACTGGTTGGTCCAAATAAAGACCAGTCAGCGACTCTATGTGAGATCAATCTACTATAGAAATAAGATGTGGAGCAAAGCTCCTCTAAAGTTCAGCCTTTCCTCCATGCAGCTCCTGGGCTTTCTGGATGTTTGGCTCTGAATGTTTCCTTTCACCTTCTGCAGGGCCCACAGTTAGAGCTCCATCCAGGGCCGACGGCCTGCAGCCATTTTACAACAGACACACACAGGACTGCGGCCTTCTGGGAAAAAATAAAAACTACAATAAAACAAAACAGAATGTGGAGAAAAGTAGCGAGTAGCTGAGGCTCTGCTTTATGAAACCCAGAACGTGTGAATAGAAGTGAAAAAATCTAAAGTCGTTTTTTCTTAAACTGAGGAGGAAAGGTAGACCTAAGACTATTTACATTTAAAATAAGAAAAAACTATCGTTTTCATATTTTAAGTATGTTTTATTTAATTATCTTATTTGAAGAGAAAAATACTAATTTTTCTGCTTAAATAAAGGGTAAATACAATTAAATAAATTTGTACTTATTTCTAGATCTTTTCTGCATCAGCATGTGTCCCACAGACTGCAGTGAAGAAATGTTATATTTATAGAGTATAGTTTTAATATTCAGTATTTTAAGGATTACTCTTTGATAACGAGTATTCTGATGTATAGAGGAGTTTTATATATATATATATATAGCTTTATTTATGCGTAGAGGCTAGACATTAGAATCCCTTTGAACATAAATCTGCAGGAAGACCGTTCCTGGTTCTCCTGGTCTGGACGGTCAGGACGTCCCCCCAGGTCCAGCCTGTCCCCTCCGGTTCCGGTCCAGGAACTCACCTGGTTCCTGTCGTTCTTCTCGTTCCTCCTCCTCAGGAGGCGGGACGTCGCCCTGCTCAGGTTAAACTGTCTGTGATTGGACGCCTGGTTCATCTGTCTCACCTGGGACAGAAGAAACTTTGGGACCTGAGGGAGGAAACAGGAAGTGATGTCAGAGTTGGTGGGACACCAGTAGCACCCGCACGGGTTCTGAGACTCACGGTCCACAGCAGGTCTTGGTGGCGGATCATGAGTCCGATCAGGTGAGCTCCGCCCACCGCCTCCTCCATCTCACCCCGCTGCTTGCTAATGGAGCGTTTATTTCCACGGTTACGGCGAGTGAATATATTGGGCGCCATCACCATGGAGACATTCCACAGAGACATTCGGTTGTGGTCCTGATGGGAGACCACCTTACCAAGGAAGACCAGCAGGGCCTGTAACCATGGAAACACCTTCACTGAGCATGGCTGTGCAGATTTAAGGTGGAACGATGGGGTCTAAAGGTGGAATTTACCTTGAGGGTGTTTCTGTGGGCTTCAGGAAGAAGCAGCAGAAGCAGCTGCAGAGCCTGGACCTGATGGACCTCAGAGGACACGGCTGCAGGGAGGAAAGCCAACAGATCAGCTGGGAGGGCGGGCTGACCTTTGACCTACCTGTGAGTGATCAGGCACGCACCCAGCAGGGAGCAGAACGTGGACAGGTGCGCGTTGGTCAGCAGGGGCGTCGGCAGCTCCCTGATGAAAAGCTTCAGCAGTCCGGAGGCGTCCACGGGGCGAACTTCAGACCAGTCAAAGATGCTCCAGCACCTGTCCAGCTCCCTGCGCAGGTACTGCAGGAGGACAGAGGAGAAACGGAGGAGGTGGGATGGGACGGACCGGAGACACGGCGGGAAAAAGCACTGAAACATGGCTGAGGCGCGTGACGCGCTCCAGCTGCTCCAGCTGCTGCTCCCTGTGAGGAGCCGAGGCTCTGAGGCGCGTATCCAGGCTTGCTTCATTTGGGGGAGGAGCCTAAATAGATGGCGTCAGAAGCCTGGCTAACGCCGCACCATGTGACCGCTTCAGGAAGTGGTTCAGGTCGCCTGTAAGTCCAGCGGACATTTAAACAGCCTCAGTGTTCAGGCAAGAAGTGGAAGTTTGGAGGAGAGCTGCTGCTGGATAGATTCTACGAATAGATTGGTTGGAAAAACAACCAATCTAGTTGGTGGAAACTAGTTTATTTACATTAAATAATGTAACGATCAAAATGAGAGCGAGCCACTGGTTACA